TAGTAGAAAATGTTACAAAATACAACAGATTAGTAGTCGTTGAACGTCCTTTAACAAAACCATGTTGTTTGCCTGTAATTAAATGCTTAACTTGTGCGAAAACATTTTGATTCATTATAGATTCAAAAAATATACGGTAGAAAACAGGATTCGAGAGAAGAGTTGAACAGCCAAAACAATTGTTTTTCTATCTTCTGCGATACTGATTTCAAGAATACTGGTGCCAATCCATCCGGTCCTGCACCCTTTGATGCATCCAATGTATTTAGAGAATGTAAAACTTGGTTTAGGGTAATCTAATCTAATCTAATCTAACACCAACACAGCCAGTTCTTGAAAGCATCCTGGAAAATGATTGGTATACCTCGGTCATTTTTCTTGTCTATTTGATATGTGTTTCACATACCAAAACGGCCAGGCCTACTGTGCAGCATTTAAGGGGCAAGATGATTCAGATAAAATCGGGCCTGTTCAAATCGAAGAAAACACGATGCTTCAGAATCCAATAAATTGATGAAACGTGGACATCTCGTACCGTACGTTCCCTTTTTGGTAATTATATGATTGGTTTTTCGTTGGAATCATCTAAACTAGAAAGGTTAAATCAAGCTCCATTTTCTTCTGACAGTTGGGACTTGAGCACTAACTTTTGTCCTAGCCTTATATGGCTTATGGCTATTGCGCCATTACTCGCTTTCTGAACAAACTGCAACGGTGCAGTTTGTAAGATTTCGTTGAGGGTAACATTATTAACTACAATATCACTCTTTGGCTCAGGAACCACCTGTTCCCCACTGATCTTTCAATGTATCAAATTTGAACAAATTTGGTTATGATCTGCATTTGCGGGAGACTTTTAAATTGTGTATGGGAAAATGTATGGGAAACGGAACGATGCTATTAATTTGCATATCAAAAAATTCAAATATTGCTCAAATTTCGACAAATCTTGGACTTTGATTGAGAATATCATTACCAAATTCTTTAAAAATTTGACACCGTTGTTGGGGACCTCAAGACACATCGGAAGAGCAGTGGAGAACAGAGGATTGTCTATCAGAAGAAAATGCTTTAGCATAAGGCTTTCCCGAGCGGGATTCAAAATCGAGCGTTAAGAATATGTAACGCATAGTCGCTTTCTTAAATGTTTTCACTCAATAAAAATTGATTAATTGTGCATCCAGATTTATGTTATACAAGTACTTAGACGTCCAGCCTACACGACTATGACAAGAACTGTAGTAGGCCTAGATGTAGTAGGCCTTGCCTGACTGTCATAAGTTAGAGATTCATTCTTTATCCGACCACCAACCAAGATAGACGTAATAAATAGTAGCTCTTAACAACAGCTTGTTTTACTTGTTGGCCTTGGTTACGGATATAACAATTGGCGACGAGGAAAATTTTGGAAGCACCTCGAACCGCGAAGCAAGAAATCTCTAGCAAGAAAATGTCTGACGAGGATCTTCGGAACGCCATCCTGCAGCTAACGAATCTCATCACGAGGCAGCAGCAGCAGATTGAAAACCTGGAAAATCGGGGAAATCCGACTGCTGGTAGTGAGAAGATTATTGAGTCCTTGGCAAGCGGGATCCAGGATTTCCAGTACGATCCGGACGGAGGAGTTTTTCTTCGATGGCTGGTATGCGAGGTACGAGGATGTCTTTACAAAGGACGGCCAAAGTAGGCCCTGATATTCGCTGTCACCCGTTTCCACAAAATGCTGTATGGACGACACTTCCTCCTGCAAACCGATCATCAACCGCTACTCAAGGTTTTCGGCTCAAAGAAAGGTATTCCTGTTTACACAGCAAACCGTTTGCAGCGCTGGGCCTTCACACTTCTGCTGTACGATTTCGACATCCAACACGTTTCATCGACGAATTTTGGCTATGCAGATTTTCTATCCCGGCTAATGTCATCGCAGCATAGACCAGATGAGGATTACGTCATAGCCGCCGTGTGCGTCGAATCTGAAGCAAAAGCAATTCTCGACGACACCATCAGCAACCTTCCAGTCACGCACCAGATGATTGTGGGTGAGACGCGAAAGGATCCAGTTCTTCAGCAAGTGGTGAATTTCCTTAACGAAGGTTGGCCAGCAAATGCGAAGCAAGTTGCTGATCCTGATGTCAAGAAGTTCTTCGCCAGACGAGATGGACTTCAAGTTGTCGACAACTGCGTTATGTTCGGCGATCGAATCGTTGTCCCATCAAAGTTTCGAAAGCGGATCGTTCGTCAACTGCATCGTGGACACCCAGGAATGGACCGAATGAAGTCTCTGGCCCGAAGTTACATCTACTAGCCTAACGTTGACGACGATGTGGAGCAATTTGTCCGTCAGTGCACTGCATGTGCTGAAGCAGCGAAGTCCCCGAAAAAAGCAACCTTGGAGTCATGGCCTCTCCCGGACAAGCCATGGCAACGTGTCCATATCGATTTTGCTGGTCCGATCCATGGATACTACTATTTCGTCATGGTAGATGCTTTCTCTAAGTGGCCCGAAATTTTTCGCACTCAATCCATTATCACAACTGCAACCCTGAATATGCTGCGTTGGTCTCAGCACGTCTCCAGCAGAAGCATTCCTCGGAAGACCAGTGCGCACCACTTTGGACCTACTGAAGAAACCTGTTCCTGTAACTGAAGCTGTCAAGAACCACAAACAAAACGAACAGTTCAATTGGCGGCATGAAGCAGTCAAGCGCGAGTTTGAAGAAGATGACCTGGTCTACGTTGAACAGCATCGCAGAAACGCCAAGTCCTGGATTCCTGGTCGAGTCATCGAACGGAAAGGTTCCGTCAACTATATCGTTGCACTGGACATGAACGGGAGACCGAAGCTGGTGAGGTCGCATGTAAACCAAATGCGCCCTCGTCACACTTCTGATGATCCAGAGCAAGCGACGCAGCAACTACCATGGGAAATGCTGCTTGATGAAATTCAAGATGAAGCTGTACCGTTGGATCCAGAAGTGCCATTCAATCACGATGTCCCTATTCCTGTTGGTTCCGTATCACTCGAAGCTGATGGTCAAGTGGCAAGTACGTTTGGCGAAAATCCTTTCTCGACAATCGATCATGAACCTGCTGCTCAAGATGGAGAACTTCAGTCCGCACAAAAGCCCGTGTCATCTGAAGCAGTTGGAGACTTTATTCGACGTTCTGTACGAGAATTAAGAATTCCAAGATGGCTCTCTTCCTATGACATTTTCTAAAAGGGGGAGATGTAGTAGGCCTAGATGTAGTAGGCCTTGCCTGACTGTCATAAGTTCGAGATTCATTCTTTATCCGACCACCAACCAAGATAGACGTAATAAATAGTAGCTCTTAACAACAGCTTGTTTTACTTGTTGGCCTTGGTTACGGATATAACAAGAACATAACTGAAAAAGGTCCCATATGCTTTGATCGATTCTCTTCATCGACTTTCTCTTCCGTTAATAACTCAGCTGCAACGACATATTTGCTGTTGTATTTGACAATTTGGACGATACATAAAATCGACAGTGAGCATGCATAAGGGCGAATACGCGATGATCGATTCTCTTCATCGATTTTCTCTTTGCATTGCTACAGCTAAGCGAAACAATTTTCTAGAATTTGTTCAATGCAGAGTAGTAACTGGTTGTATTGGTTATCAAAAGCAACAGCTAACGCACCGAGAAAAAAAAATCTAGCGAGTTATTAACAAAAGATGAAGAAAATCGATCATCGCGTATAGGCCCGTATGCATGCTCACTGTCGAAATCCTCCTTTATCATGCTATGTGGCATAAATAGAACAAAAACTGTTTGCATAGCCGTTGTTATCAAAAGAGAAAGTCGATGAAGAGAATCGATCAAAGCAGATAGGCCATTTTTCCAGCTCTGTATAGATTTTTTTTAAATTGCGCAATTATTTTCACTCAGATCCGATAACGTTGAAATATTCTTACCCGGTCAGAATATAGTGCGTGCACGGTAAATTAATAAGTGTATTAGCTGACCCATCTTGCCCCACCTTACCATACGATCAAATGTTCATGTATGTTCCTATTGCATATTTCTACACTCACACTTTTTAGACATAGGACTGTTATGCAAATAGCGACAGTGTTGAACTTGTGTTTACGTACGATTTTTTTGCCAAACATAATCAACACCGATTAGCCTTACTGCTTGAACTTGGTTAAGATTGTCATCCTCGGTTCGGGAATAATTCTCACATTCAAAGTTGGTAGCTACGATATTCACATATGTGCTTCACATCTGATCCGCTTTGCACTTCAGCATCCGCAAGTCACGCACGATAATTTTAATAAATAAAAAAAAAATCACCGAAAATCCCACCAAAGAACCGAATTGACTCCGTTGACTGGGAAAAAAAAGGTCATTCCAATTAGCCCCTCGTGCCATGCTCGAATCTCGCATAGACGATTGAACGGGAGACGACACAAGACATTAGCTGCATCGACGACGACTCCGATATTCCGCCATGACTCAATCACTTGACTTGATTTGATTTGATTGTGACGACGACGACGACGATGAGTGAGGGGGGTTCAGCATTGATTGGTCTCCACAGAACAGCTCATCATAATTGCTCGGATTCGAATCATTTTCAATTTTGTTTTGCTTCCCCGAACCTCCGAACGCAAACAACAACCTGATGCTGCTGAGAGACACTTGAATCCGCATAAGTCACATTGACCGTGTGGGAAATAAACGATCGATAGATGACTTGTGACGGGGGGAGGCACGTGCAGCTTATCGCCGCTATCATTATAACTATTACGATTACTCATTAAACCGAAACCATCATCATTGGCACTTTTGTATTACTCCAAGATGCTCCCCTACCGAGCGCCGTTGGTTGGTTGACGTTTGAGGCGATTGACCGTTTGGCGTTCAATCGCTGCTGTTTTGGTTTTCACTTTCTGCGAGGAATATTATTTACTACTATTATGCAACACATTACAACTATCTCACCGGTTTTTCAATTCTCATTACGATTTTCAGAATGCCATCCTTGTTGCCAAATCGATCGAGAGTCCGGTCAAGAACAGTACGCCGCGCCCGTTCAGCCGGCCAGCAGCGGACATCGAAGGCGGGAACATTTCCGACCGGCTCGGAAAGATCAAAACGTCTTCGGAAAGCTGGAAGAATCGTGTCGGTAAGTGACGGTCCAGGAGTACATACCTACCTTCAGATTGGCGTGTTCATAGGAGCGTGCGATTGTGAGAGAGGCAGCAGTAGCTCGCGATAATTGCTTCATTTAACTTTTTTTGATGACTGGAAGTGAAGCATGGAGCAAACTACAGATAAACTACGATGACAAACTTTCAAGTTGGCAAGAAACATGCATCTCTATACGAACAAAGTGCGCAGTGGATGTGCTGTTTACAAGAGCCATGCACCGATGCACAATGCGATCGTTTTCACATACTTAAGCGTACTTACATTCAAGTCGTTGTAATGGATCATAAATTTTGCACTAGTTTTTTTGTTCGTATAGAAATACAATCTTGTTTTCTCGTGCGTCTAGTAATTAAGAGGTACATAGGTACATACAAACTAGAAAATTTAGGGTTTTCGGTAGCCAAAACTAGTCAATTCTGCCAAACGTTCACATAGAATTAATCCAATTTAATGCAGACGCTTAGTACTCTACAATCTGATACAATATCTGACGATCTCCTTGACCAAACTTGCAGAACTTTCGGATGCCACCAACTTCACCGTGGCGGGCCGATTGGCCGCCACCAGGTCGCCCAAGTTGCCGTTCATCAAATCCGACACAAAGCAGTCGCCACCGATGAGCGCGTTCCGCAGTGTGAACCCGCCCCAGCTGGGTCTTGCCAAAAGCCCGTCGATGATGGTGTCTTCGGTGACCACCTCGTCGATGCTGTACGCTCCCACCACCCCCAGCGGCGGAGGCCCAATTCAGAATGGAGGGGGAGGAGGAGGCCCATCGCCAGTGGCAGCACTGGCCGCCGTGGGCCAGCAACTATCTAGTCAACTCAGTCAGCACAGAGCAGGAATGGACAGTATACTTATGATGAAGCGTAGCATTAGTGTCCCCGGGGTGCCCTCATTTGGTGCTTACGGGGAAGCCGGTGGGGATCTCAAGTCCCACGCTGCCGGCGGTTCAAAGGTTTCAATTCCAAAGCTGGACGACGAAAGCTTTGGCAACTTTTTCACCAAAGTCGAGAAAACCGTAGCAGCTACCAGGTTTAGCACCACCACCACCACCACCAGTAGTAGCAGCAGTTCGTCAGCGGAGGTCGTCATCGGAGACTTCGACACGCTCAAGGTAGACAGCCAGCAGCGCCTGACACAGAAGAAGGTTGTCCAGGGACCGAAACGTCGCGGGGCCATGTCGAAGAACCCGCTGAAGAAGCTGGCCGCACGGGACGATCTGCAGACCGAGTACACCGAAATCAAAACAGGTATCGCCGATAAAGAGTTGAAAAGACTCAAACTAGAATCAAGTAAGTGTGTGTTCTAATGTTGCTGTTGCTCGACGCAATCCCCTCTCTCTATCTCTCTCTATAATACTAGACTGCTTTTCGTACTGCCCGACGCTCGATCTCTTCTGACGAATGATTTGCTAATCTTAATACTTTACCTTATACCTAACGATGATGTAAAAGATCTTCCCCTGACCAATACCACCCCAACCAAGCGAAACATGTCTAACAGCATAATTGTTAACCACGCCCCCTTTTTCCCCGTGCGCCTCCTTCCGGGATTCGCTTCCTGGAATGCGCTGTTTTCTCTTATCTCTCTTTTTTCATGTGTGTGCGTGTTTTCCCCCAACCCCGTTTCCTGCTGCTACCACCAAAACACTGCATCTCATCACTCAACACCCAACCAAACAGTTGCCAAAACTAGCAATCTGGCCATCGAAGCGCTCGCTGGCTTGGCTTCCATGGAGGACTTTAAATCGGTCGCACTAAAATCTAGCAGTCTGCCGCTGAACCAGAGCTTCGTTCCGTACAAACCGTTGATGTTGCTGCATGTCAAGGGCCGGCGGCACGTTCAGACCAGGTTAGTGGAACCGGTAGCGCGGTCGATCAACCGGGGAGATTGCTTCGTGCTGGTCACCGCCGATCGACTCTTTGCCTTCATGGGTCAGTTTTCCAACGTGATCGAGCGGTCACGGGCCAAGGAAATTTGCGACGTGATGGTTCGGGATAAGGATCTCGGATGTGGAGCTGCTAGCGCTACGGTGATCAGCGATGGCAAGTCCTGCAGCGAGCGGCAGTTGCGTGAATTTTGGAAACTGCTCGGACGCGGTCAAGAAGATCAGAAAGTGGAAGTTTGCGATTCCGGTCATGCCGATGAAGATGAGCTGCTGGAGAGCTGCCTGATTGAGACCAATAAGGTTTACGAGTTCGAGGATGACGCATTGGTACCGCTGGAAGAGTACTGGGGTGCTGCACCGAAAATTGCCATGTTGGACTGTAAGAAAATCTTGGTCTTTGATTTCGGCAGCGAGCTGTACATTTGGAACGGGAAGAATGCTTCCAGCGAGGCAAAGAGGGCAGCCATCAAGCTGGCTCAAGAGTTGTACTCACAGGAATACAGCTACGATATGTGCCAGTTGAATCCGATCAAATTTACGGAGCTGAGCGGTGATAGACAGAGAGACGCCAGGCGAGTGGCGAAGAGTGGTTCGGTTCGTCCGGAATGGTGCTTGATAGCAAAGGTTACCCAACATATGGAAACGGTTCTGTTCCGACAGAAATTCCTCGATTGGCCGGATATAACCGTTCAACTGAAGGACGATGGCTACCAAATGGGGGACACTCCCAGCTTGGATATTAAGCCCGTCGATGGAGAGATGCTGTTCAAGGGACAACCCTATGTGGAACCAAACTTGGTGCTCGAAAACTCCAGCTTGGGTCGTGGAAACTTTTACTACGACACCAATACGATGCGTCATTTCGACGTACTCACGATCTCAACGACCCAATGGGAGATTGACGAATACGAATACAAGGTAATTGAGGGTTCCTCCTGTGGACACTTTTACTCGGACGAAAGTTACACCGTGCGTTGGATGTACCAAGTGAGTGTTACCGTACGGGAGCTTAGTGGTAAGGTCTCGAATCGAAGCACCATTGTTGGACGTGACCGTTGCGCCTATTTCTGCTGGCACGGAAAGGACGCTCCGGCCAACGAAAAAGGTGCTGCCGCTCTTCTGACCGTTGAACTGGACAAAGAGAAAGGCGCCCAGGTTCGCGTCGCTCAAGGTCAAGAATCGTCCGCCTTCATTCGGCTGTTCAAAATTATGTTCATTCACAAGAGCAAGAAGACCCCGCGCAATGCCTGGCGCCTGTACATCATCACCGGAAACTGTCCGGAAGAAACAGTTTGCACCGAAGTAACTTGCCATGAACGTCAGCTACGCTCTCGTGCCACAATGGTGCTAATCCAGGGCGAAAAGGGTCGCGCAATCCTCTGGACCGGTTGTAAGGCACTGCCCCATGCTCGGGAAGTTGGTCAGAACGTGCTGAACGCCATCATCCAGAACAAATATTCCGAACTGTTTGACGAAACCCTGTCCTCCATAACTTCAAAGACCCTTGAAGAAGGCCAAGAAAGTCACGAGTTCTTCGAAGCCATCGATGGAAGTGAAAATCGCCATCAGTACCACTCGCTGCTCGGTTCTCATCAGGACTTTAAGTTCTCGCCTCGAATCTTCAACCTGACCAGTATCAACAACGGCAATTTCGAGGCCACCGAATTGCAGTACAATCTGCGCTGCAAGGACCTTATTTCGTCGTATCCGTTCCGGCAGGACGACCTGTACAATGCCCGCCAGCCGACGATATTCATGATCGATAATGGCCACATCCTGTGGCTGTGGCAAGGTTGGTGGCCCACGGAGGACGGCGCGGGAAGCGATAGCGGTAGCAACAGTGGTAGCGATAACCACAGCAGCTTCGATAGCAATCGCTCCGGTGAAAACCGTTGGCAAACGGAACGCCGGGTGGCAATGGAGACGGCCGTAGCTTACTGGAAGGCAAAGCAAGCCCAGCTCGGAAACAGTACCTCAGCCCAGAAGGGATCGTCGAACAAGGTTACCAACGGAAACGACGATCAACAGAAACGGCAACCCCTTCCGGACGAAAACGGTAACGGTGCCATCGACGAGGTTGACGACGCCGAGAAAAACACTGCCAACAATGGTACTACTCTACACGCTGCCAGCGACGTAACCGATGACTGTGATACTACTATTACTACTAGTGACCGCGATGCCATTGTTCCGAATGGTGCTAATGAAGAAGAGGACCACGGGAATGACGGGATGCCACGGTGGGAGAACGAAATCAACGGCTACGTGGTTTGGGCTGGCCTGGAACCGCTGGAGTTTATCGCCATGTTTCCCGACTGGGAGCAGCGAGACGATGTTGCCGAGATTAACGTGCAGGTGGGTTTTTTTGATTATTGGAGAAATACGGCAGTAAGTAGCTTTTAGGTGCTTGGAACTTGGAAGGTAAGTTTGTTTGAGCTCACATGGTTATACGCGTTGGTGTTGTGAGCCATGTCAGCTCAACTGAACTACCTTCTAGATCTAGACAAAATGTTAATCTGAGAAACCAACATTATTTTAAGTATGTCGAGAACTTTTATAACAAAGCAAACAGAACGCAGGTCAGTATTGGACTACTTTGGTCAGTAGGTAATGCTATTGAGTTGTCGTACAATTAACACTTTCTGTTATAATTCAAAGTTTGGTTATAACCATCAGCACTCTCATTACGCAATTCCTCTTCCACTGAACTTACTAAAATCTTTGTCCAGGATCTTGAGTTTGGTTAATACCAGCCTCCCTTTTTAACCTAACGAGATCAATTTTATGTTCTAAATAACTCTGTTTGCCGTTACTCTGTTATCGAAGTTCTGAGGATAACATTTTCAGAGCCAACAACAGTTACCAACCGACATTCTTCCCTTTCTTTCCAATCCCGTTTCTCGCAGGATGGCCGTAAATCCGCCCCGCAACCAATTGCCAGCAGTCTCTCGCTTCTGTCGCGCAAGGAGTATCCCCTGTCGGTGCTGCTGGAACGTCCGCTACCAGAGGGTGTCGACCCGACCAAGCTGGAACTGTACCTCCACGAGCAGGACTACCCGGAAGGGCTGGGCCTTACCAAGGCCGAGTTCGATCAGCTCCCAGCGTGGAAGCAAACTAAACTCAAAAAGGAGCGGTGTTTGTTTTAAGTAATCGGAAATCAAGATACACACACACACAAACAAACACAACTACACTCCATCACTCACACAATTATTAGCAATGTCTATTTATTTTTTGGAACTCATTTAAAGATTCTGTTATAGTTTTATCTGTCTGAGCCGAACATTGTGGGCAACCAAGCAGACATGATTATATTTTTTGGTTTTCTATATCTAGTATTCAAATTTTATGCTCTAGTTGTTTATTTCTTTGTTTTTGTTATTATGATTTTTGTTCCCTTACTTCAATTCGTTTTATAATTTGGGAGAGGCGCACCCGGCAGTTTTCTACTTGGATGTTGTGCTCTGTTGTGGCGTAGTTTTAGTGATGTGTCGAACTCAATCGAGTCGAGGTAGCGCCACTCCTATTGAAATATTTTTTGATTCACTGTTGGAACTTAGGAAACCATTACAAATTACGATATATATACCTGTTAAGTGATTTGATTTATCAACGAGATTGTGTCCAATAAATTAATCCACCATACCCTGAAGCTTGTCCGAGTGTGTGTTTGGAGATTTCCGTTGATTCAAACAATCGTAGATTTCAGCTGCCCTCTATACGTTTTAAACTAAAAACCAAGACGACGAAACGATGTGTGGAACCAACCCAACTCAACTAAGTGAGAGATTGCTTTATACAACTTTATATAATAGAACTGTAATAGCAGCACTGACGATTTCATACTTAAAAAGAAAACACGAACTAAGTTTACATTATAAACAAAAAATGATTATCCTTTCGCCATAGAACCGACAAAATAAAAATTATGTAAAAAATGTAATTTTATTAACCTTAGTAAGCTTATTATGCGCATATACATATTTTTACCAGTAGCCTACGGATTAACTCTGTCGCTTCTATGCTCTGAAAATTTATGTAGAAATTTGTCCTTTCTTTTAACTTATTTCATTAATGTTTAGAATGCATCCAAAAGGCAAAATACCCCTTCTCTCTTGGCAGTGATAGTGTTTCATAAGGCGCTTTATTATTTGTGTAGAATCACATACGATATGTTGTTAGGAATACTTAGCTTTTAGGTGGATCCGGTCTTCAGGCGAAGCAAAAGCAAACAAAAGTCAAATGCTGAACAATCGTGTTATTAGGGAGAGGAAACGCGTACTTAAGCAAATTCCCAATAAAAAAATCCATCAGAACAAACATAGATGAAGAAGAGGTAGCAAAACAGCAAAGAACTGAGACTGCTTGAGCCCCGGGCGCCAGCAAGTATGCAAACCGCTTCTCCCCCCCCCCCCCATTTTTTGGAGGATGATGTATTTTGTGAAAATGTTTTATGCCTGTGTGTGCGTGCATGCGTGACGTGCTATTTGTAATGAACGAAAAAAAAAAGAAGAAACTCTGTGTTCCATATTAAAAGAAAATGAAATCCCACAATACATAACAATTTATTAGGCATTACGTATTCATGGATCGCCCAGACACAATTATTACACAAACACACTAAAACTCTTTTGCTATAATAGACTAACTGAAGGAATCAACCGAGAACAAGAAATCACAATCACTAAATGCCAGCCTCATCGAATATAATTATACACACATGAAACAGAAAAAAGGATGAAATTAATCGAATAAACCCACTTACAGCCGACATTTATCAAAAAAACACACACACACAAACACAAACTATTTGAAAGTAATCTAAATATACACACACGAAACGCGCATATAGCAGTCGCAGTATGTCGATATAAAAATAGTCATTTGAACAAAACGCGATCGATATCATTGAGAGGAGGAAAATAAAAATACAAAGAAAAACAACCAATAACATCCATAAAATATGTAGGATTTGTAAACACCCCCCTAGCGATTTGACGATGAATTAGGGACAAGTGTGTGTGTGCGTGTGTGAACCTCGCACTCGCACTCACATTTTGGCCAAGTTTAAAACATTTAACAAGAAAATGCTAAATGCTACGGGGATAATATGTGTAGGAAAGAGAAGGAGAACCGACTGGAACAGTATATGGAGAATATTAAAGATGGAAAAACTTTTTACCAATAGAACGACCGCGCGCAAGGTTTCATTGCTAAGAAAGAACTCATCCCTGTGTCTGTCTGCTCGTCCCGTTGAGTTTTTAAAGGGGCTTATTACGGATGTCACTTCACGGTGAAAACTTATCACTTGTCGTCACGGCGAAATGATTTCCATTTGATTTGTACGGCAATCACGGCCACGGCTCTTATTCCGAATATCACTTCCTTATCACCGTGTAGTGACACCCGTAATAAGGCCCAAAGTGTTTAAAATAGATTTAATTGCATTTTAGCCACAAATCATCGCATTTACTCATTCTATTTTTATGCCTAGAAACATCCTTTTTATTAAACAAAAAAGCCTCAATCGGTTGATGAACTCGGAATTTCACTTGATTTGTAAGTAGGGTTTTTGATGATGTTCCACACACGGAGAAAAAAGCGATCGCAATAGGCCGCGCTTGAAAGCTGACATGTTTTCCTTTTGCTGTGTATTTTTCGTAAGCGAATAAACACTTTTTGACTTTACATTTGTTAATTTGTGTGCTGAAATTTAGTTTCAAGTGATATATCGTGTTTTGCCTTGAGTGGCTCGGCCTAACCTTGAAGCTAACCTCCAAAATATACAACGCAGCTTCAGTTCCATTGTTCGGTGTCGGTTTCCATTGCCTCCCGGGAGCCCGGTTCTCCGAGTTCGAATGATACACTATCGGCGTGTAGTTCTATTGAGAGATCGGTCCGGTTGGTGAATTCGCCCGGGAACGAATTGATAATGTGTCTATCGCGAGTTTTGGTGGTAATTCGGTGCAAAAGTGCTCGGCTGCTGGTCTCTCGCCGGTGTCGGAGTTTGCGACCAATATGAAAGATGCCTCGCTGGATACGCCCAAGACTGGACGGGTGGCAGTTGGTGGCCCCGAACTGTTCCTGGGGAAAGCACTAGACGCGAACCTCCTCCAAGATGACCATAGCAATGCAAGAAAATTTGTGTTCGTTAAAGGAAGTAGGTATTACGACAAAGGTGCATCACGAAATTTGATGCGAAGCTTAGAGAAAATCAAAATTACAGAACCCATGGTTTGGGGGATCAAATTAACATGGTGAGACCAGTCCAAATACATTTTACAATTAAAAAGTAGAAGGGTCTGTGCCAAGGGGCACGAACGGAAGCTTGACGTAGGACCGCTAGTGGACGGAATAGATGTGAAGAGCATTTAGTTCTTTTAATTGATCAATTATCTATTATCTCAACTCTTTCCGTTTTTGAATTGTAGGTGTACCAAATTTGTAGTAATTTTTTTCAAAGAGAAAGTTGATTAAGAGAATCAATCAAAATCACTTGCACCCCTGCTTCCAAGTTTGGTTACAAGATTACAACTCTGGAGAGCTTTTTGTGTGATCGTTGGGGGCTTGTGGTTCTGAATATGGACAAACAAGCACAGATAAATTCTATTCTAACTCTTTACTGATGTAAGCTTGATGGCCCTGAAAAGGGCCATTTTTTATTAAAGACTACATCCATGGCCACTTACGCTTGGCGTGTTTAGTGTAGGTGACAGCATCACGGACCTCATTGTCCAGGAACACCTTCAGCACACCTCGTAGATCAGACCGGAGATACGTTTGACACCACCACGGCGAGCCAGACGACCGAAGGCGGTTATCTCGAAGAACTTTTCGATGACTCTTGGCGCCTCCTTTACCAGACCTGTTCCTTCTTTGCCACAACAATTGTTGCTTGTTAGGTGTAAAGGAGTTGCTGTTCACCATACAGCAGCGCTCTTTTATATCTTTTCAGGTTAAAGCAGAATGATGTGCAACCAAGTAGTGGTATGAAAGCTACAAAGACTCCTCCCATTCCCCCCTATTCTGCGAGTCACGTGACTCTCTCTCACCGGTGAGGTGACAATAGTCACCTCGTGTGAGGTGACTCTCCATTTGATTTGCATGGAGAGTCACCTCACACGAGGTGACAATTGTCACCTCACCGGTGAGAGAGAGTCACGTGACTCGCAGAATAAGGGGGATTATGACTAGTTTGCTATCAAGTAGCGACACTGCCTCTTTTCCTTTTGCGTACACGGCGAATGAGAACGACCCAAATTTGAGTTTAGTTCACTCATAATCGCCAAAAGTGCAGGAACTCAGCGATGAGTATATTTGTCTCATGGTTTCCTGTGCAAAACCTAAAAAATCTGCCAGAAAATGAGGAAATTTGATGAAAAAAATTTTTAGTCTCGGAGTAGTACCAATACACTGAGTGAATCCAATCTTTACTTTCCTCAAATTCGGGAATTTTTCCCTGGAAAATCCTGGAAAAATCTGAGAAAACATGAGGCAAATTTAATCATCGCTGAGTTCCTGCACTTTATTTCTTATTTCTGAGATAACTAAACTCAAATTTGGGTCGATCTCATTCGCCGTGATATCACCTTGAAAGATATCAGTGGGTCCAATCTCAGTCGGCTCCACCGGCATGTTCTAAGGCATAACATCTCTGATCACGCCTTCCTTCGGGAAGTAAAGCCGTTGGTCCCCGGTTGAGTTGATGGGTTGATTGGTAGGGTCTAGGTGTGGGAGCTGCCTCCCTGGCGTCGGTAGCATTGGAGCTCAGTACCGAAAACAAATCTCGCGTCACTTTTAAATAGGTCCTATCTACATTGATCGATTCTCTTCATCGACACTCTCTTTCGTAAATAACTCGGCTTCACAAATGTTTCCTGCCGTCTTCGTCGAATTAGAAGCTAGATTGTTGCTTCTTCCATCAAAAATATCCGGCCGTGGCGATTCAAAGTTGATCAAGGTTGATCAAAATAATTTATACCTCTGCTTCCAGTTTGATTACATGTGCATTTTGTGTGGTCGTTGGTTCTGAATGTGGACAAACAGGCAGATGAATTCTATTCCTACTCTTTACTGTAATAAGCTTGGTGGCCCTGAAAAGAGCCGTTTTCTTGCCAAAGTTGGTGATGATTTAACCTTCGAAACCAAACAGAGTGCGTCTCTGTCACTTCAAAACGTAGATGACATCCATGGCCGCTTACGCTTGGCGTGTTTA